AAAATAAGCCAGTAAACATGTTTTCTTGAGTTCTGTGAGCCATCCTAGCAATTATTAAACCCAAGAAGGAGGTCATGGTAACTCCAACCGTAGCAAATGACCTGGAATTTTCAATTGGTATCTGAAGTGTGGGCAGACTTGTGAGACTGAACACAACCTCTGGTGTCTAAGACTAACTCCAGGTAGACAGTGTCAGAACTTAATTGAATTGTAGGACACTCAGCTGGTGTCACAGAATTGCTTGACATGTAGAAAACCCACACATCTGGTGTCAGAAGTGTTGCGAGTGTGGTGGTAGTGTGAGAGTAAAGGAGAAAGACAGGAGCATTTTCTTATATAGTTGTGCAAAGACAGCTGAACATACAGTATGCTGTGTGGCAATAACTCCCATTATAGGCATGTTAGCACTTATTGTAAATATTGGTCTTCTTATCGTTTTCTTTCTGGTTTTGATAAAGCACGAGAATGTGTTAAATATTCACAGTGCTTCATCTTTTCCCCTATTTATTTATTTTTATTAAATGTATTAGGGCAACATTGGTTAATAACATCACATAAATTTCAGGTGTACAACTTTACAATACGACATCCGTATACTCGTGGTGTGCTCACCACCCAAAGCCTCCAGTGCCTCATCTTTGAAACGAAAATTTCGACTCCTCTCTTTCAAACTTCTGAACAGCTTAGACTGAAGACAATCTTAAATTATTTACAAATGTTATAAAGACTTGTATGAGAATTTTCTTAATACTGAGCAATCAAATAGAGAAATAAATTGGATATGGACACTGATAGGCCATTCCAAAAATCATTAACAAACACCTGATTTCAAATGTCGGTGCTCAAGAAAGCAGCTTCTGGTGATCATAGATTTCTTTATGAGGAACAAAAGCAAATTCTTCAAATAAATCTATAGTAACAAAGTACTGTTTCTCCCTATTTTATAAATGGGGTTTATTTAAAGAAAGGATCTTATTGCTAAAAATGTTTGAAAACCACTAAATCAAACCACTGTGAAGAGGCGATTGCAGGATTCAGAGAGTCAGAGTTTACACAGGAGGATGGAAAGTACAGGGTGAGTAACACTAGGATCTGACCAATGAAATGTATGGGACCTGCACCTGAGTGGGTCGGGGAAGGGAGAGGTCAAAGGAAGTGCCAAAGCTAGTAGGTTTGGAGTGTTAACTGAGAGAACAGTAGTCAACTAACCAAAGTAAGGAAGATGGAGGGGTGGGAAGACAGATGAGAAGTCTACACCCCTTTATCTTACAAATAAGTAATCAGGTTCCAGACTCTTTTCTAGTCTTTTTTGGGGAGGGGTGCAAAAGAGAGGTATTTTGAAAAAAGACATTGGATTGATAATCTAGAATAGTTGTTTTTATTCACATTAATCTGTATGTCTTCATACTATTGAAAATAGATTATACTTGTAAAGATCAGAAATCAAAATTCAATTTGTCATTTGTTTAAATTTTTTGCTCCCTTCCCATTATTGTATTAATAAATAATAAAAACCATCTTCTGTACATGATGAATATCCATCTTGACAGTATTTCTCAAGAAGGTGGGACCATTCACGTACATTTAGAGCATTTTCTTGTTGTTGTTGTTGTTGTAATCCTCACCAAAGGATATTTTTTCTATTGATTTTTTTTAAGAGAGAGTGGAGGGAGAAAAGGAGGAGGAGAAAGAGAGATAGAAAGAAACATCGATGTGAGAGAGACATATCTATTGGTTGCCTCCCTCATGTGCCCTGACCAGGCCAGGATTGAAGCTGCAACCCAGGTATAAGCCCTTAAGTGGGAATCAAATCTGAGACCCTTTGGTGCATGGGCTGACCCTCTAACTATTGAGCCACACCATCCTGGGCTAGAGAGTTTTTATTTATTTATTTATTAATAATTTTTCTTTATTGATTTTAGAGAGAGGAAGGGAGAGGGAGAGATAGAAGTATCAATTAGAGAGAACATCAATTGACCACCTCCTGCAGGCCCCCCACTAGGGATTGGGCCCACAACCTGGGCATGTGTCCTGACTGGGAATCAAACCAGCGACCTCTTGGTGCATGGGTCGATGCTCAACCACTGAGCCATACCAGCTGGGCTAGAGAGTTTTGAATGTAATGTATCAGTTAATTATAATTTTTGAACACTGAGTCCAGGTGACTTTCATTTTTACTGTCTGGGGATTTTGCAACTTCCCCAGGAGATGAAGGACTCAGTGTCTTCTTAATGACTGAGTTAGAAGAGCTGGAGGTAGTTTCTTTAATATATCTAAGTGCACTTAGCTTGGAGATGGAAGATTAGAGAAGAGGATCAAGTTATAATAGCAGTTACAATCAGAAAGTTAGAATAATAAATTAAATTGATTGAGTACTTACTATGTACCTAATACAGTTCCAAGAGCTTTACCTGAGTTATTTCACTTAACCCCCACAATAACCCTATGAGGCTGGTGCTATTATCATTGTCCCCATTTTTCAGGCCGGAAAATGAGACCCAGAAAGTTTGTTATTTTCCCAGGATCACAGAGTGAGAGATGGTGAAGCTTGGTTTAAAACCAGTAAATGTAGAAGTCACTGTTGAGGTGGGATTTGGGCAGGTAAAAGAATTTCTTCTTAAGAGCAATTTTATGGTGATTTTGTTAGCAGGCTAGGATTTCTTAAGCACCAGAAAGTCCCAGTTTACTTGCCCATTGATGGTATAACAAGAAATCATAAGCTAAAAAAGGTAGCAGTCACCTAGCTCAGTGTCCTAGATTCAGGTTGCACATTACAATTCTTTTTTTTTTTTAATCCTTACCCGAGGACATTTTTCCATTTTATGTTCAGATAGAGTGGGAGAGAGAGAGAGAGAGAGAGAGAGAGAGAAACATCGACATGAAAGGGACAGGTCGAGTGGCTGCCACCCGCACAACCCAACCAGGGCCGGGGACAAACTGCAACCAAGGTACATGCCCTTAGTGGGAACCGAACCTGGGTCTCTCTGGATCGCCGGCCAACGCTCTAACCACTGAGCAAAGCCGGCCAGGGCCACATTACAATTCTTTAGCCAGAAACGCCACCCAGCTGCTACACTGATGGAATGGGTTAAAATAATCCATTATTGTTTCATTCTATTTTGAATTCTTTTCATATTCTTCCTTTCTGTTAGGGTCATAATTCTAACATTTAAATGACCTCCAATAGACTTGTCAAAGGTTTTTGTTGCTCTGCTCACCGTTGTAAGATGGTGTTCTCCGCCATAATAAATTCAGAAAGATTTATAATTTGCAAAATCTCTAAGGACCGTAGTTAGACACATGCTGCATTTTGTTTTCCAGTCAAAATACTTTTCTTTGTGGAGCACAGAGACAAGAATTTGAAAGATACACTTTGATTTTCAAAAGTGATCATGTTTACATTCACTTGTGTGTTATGACGTGAGTGCAATTTTAGGAAATTAAATACCCGATTCCAGTTTCAGTGATGTAAATTCAGGATTCAAGAACTTAAGATATAATATTGCAGATTTTGGAGTTTTGTTATGCAAAATTGATTTAGATGTGGAGGACAGCCATGTACATTTTCAGTTAGGCCTGGAATGGCCCTGAATGATAATTGGCAGCCAGATTTAAGGAGAAAATTTGTGTCAAAAACTGAAATATTAGTCTATGTTTATTATTCTGCCATGTAGTCACCAACTAGCAAATTCAGTGATTACAGTCATAAGTCCCTTAATGACCAGAATGCATTCTGATAAACGTGTTGGTAGGCGATTTCGTCCTTGTGCAAATGTCATAGTGTATTTACACAAACCTAGATGGTATAACCTACGCTATATACTATATCCTATTGCTCCAAGGCTACAAGCCTGTATTACATGTTACTGTACAAAACAACAGGAGATTAAATCAAATACAAGATAAAACGATGCAATCAGATGTATGAGGCTGCTGCAGGCAACATGGCATAGTTTTACAGCAAACATAAAAAAAAAAGTAGAAGAGTCCTAGCCGGTTTGGCTCAGCGGTTAGAGCGTCGGCCTGCGGTCCAGAGAGACCCATGTTTGGTTCCCGCTAAGGGCGCGTACCTCGGTTGTAGTCTGTCCCGGCCCTGGTTGGGTCGTGCAGGTGGCAGCCACTCGATGTGTCCCTTTCACATCAATGTCTCTCTCTCTCTCTCTCTCTCTCTCTCTCTCTCTCTCTCTCTCTCTCCCCCTCTCCCTCCCTCCCACTCTATCTGAACAAAATATGGAAAAGTGTCCTCGGGTGAGGATAAAAAAAAAATAGAAGAGAATATATAGTAAATACATAAACCAGTAACAGTCATTTATTTTTCATGCAAATAGGTGGGTCAGACACAGCCCAAGGTGCCGTTTGGGAAATGATTTACTGGTTCAGACCCCTTGACAGATTTTATTTCTTTTCCCCCAAAGTTTTATTGTGCAATATTTTAAACGTACAGAAATGTTGAAAGACTATTATAGTACATACCCATATGCCCTCCACCTACATTCCACCCGTTACATTCTATCATTCTTGTTTATCACATAATCTATCCCTCCCTCTCCCCGTTCATCAATCCTCCCCAGAAGTAAGGGGCCAGGGTCAGCAAGCTCAAGGTAGCTGTCCAGTGGTGATTCCAAAGGGCGCCACTGTACACCTTCGGCACCCCGGCGAGCTGGGGTATTTTCTCCCTAGCCTGATTTCAGGGACCCGGAGGTGGGACCCGGGCTCCGGAACGCCGGCGCCCCCCCGCGGCTGCACCGCTCTCTGCGGCCCAGGGGTCGCGCGGGGCCGCCCATCTCCAGAGGGCGGGCCGGAGGGCGGGGCGCAGCGGGCGACGTCGAGCAGCACCTGGCCTGGGCAGCGCAGTGGCCGCGGCCGGCGCAGCGGAAGCCAGTTGTCCGGCGGCGGGCCCGGGGCGCGGGCGCGGGCGCAGGGCCGCGACGTGCGCGGGGAGCGCGGGGCTGCGCTCGGGTGCGCTCCTGGGCGCTCGCCGCCGCCGCCGGCCTTTGAGTCAGCAAACTCCGCTGCGCCGGGGCTGCCCTGCCCGACTGCTGGAGCTGCCGCGCGTAAGTGACAGGAGACCTGCCTGGGTGGGGACCACAGCCGGGGACGAGTCGTCCGCCCTCGCCTTTCCAGAGGCGCGGGGCCCTTCCCGGTGCGCCCAGGTCCCCGGGGGCGGGTGCGGGGAGGAAGACCCGGTCGGTGGCTGGAGGAGGGCGCGGACGCCGCTCCAGGCTGCAGGCTGGAAGGAGGAGAGGGTGGGGCGAGGCGGGGTCCTGGAGGGCAGGAAAAGTGCCGAGGCACCTTACACCAGGCCGGGATTGGGTGGGTATTATTTTGATTCATGAAAGGGTAGCTCTGGCTTTAGAAATTGGGAGGAGTAGCAGGGTGTTTGTTTTTTTGTTTGTGTTTTGATTTTCGTGGGCTTGTGGGATTGCGAGAAAATCCACGGTGACCGAGCCAGGTGTGGTGCCGCCGGAAAGCAACAGCCCGTTTTCCAGTTCCCACGCATCGCGCTTAAGACTGAACAGGGATTATTGAGCGGAATGCTCATGGCAGTTAGAGCAACATGCCCTGCTTGGAAATGTTAAAAAAAAATGCAACTGAATATATTTTTAAAATTTTTATTTTTAGAGAGCGAGGAAGGGAGAGGGAAAGATAGAAACATCAATGAGGGAGAAACATCGTTGGCTGCCTCCTGCACGCCCCGCACTGGGGATGGAGCCGGATACCCAGGCATGTGCCCTGGCAGAAATCCAGCCTGTGACCTCTCCGTGCAGAGGTCGACGCTCAACACCGGCAGGGCCAACTCCATACATGTTAAAGATATTATTGACCTGATTCAATGATTCGTGCATCGGGCGGTATCCCTTCTGGCAGATGGAAAGGAGCCCCCAGGAGCTGTACAAAATGGAAGACTTTTATAGGCAGAAGGGAACGGATGCGGAAAGTATGCCAGCAAAAATTGGTTTGCTGGTGGGAAGGTCACCTTCCTTAGGGGGAGGCGGGGTCTGTCAAGCAGTTTATCTCACTAGTACTGGCCAGGTAATTCCGGATTGACGGATCTAAGATTCCACTCCTGGCAGAGGCTGAAACTATAATTAAGTATTGTCTTGGTTTGGTGATGTGGGCTTAGCATAAGTGACTCCATTTTGGGCCTGTTTTTTCTTTTTTAACAAAACGAAGGGTTTTTATTTGGGCAAGACATGTTTACATGTAAGAAGAAAGGAGTTAGACATTTAGAGCAGGCAGGAGGCTTTCATGTGATCTTATGCGAACCTTTCGTTTTAGGGAGGGGGTAATTAAGGCCATGGGAGGGGAGTCATTCAGCCAGATGGGTGTAGAAACAGGCCTAGATTCCTGTGGGCTGCTGACTCCTGCTGTAGGGTTCTCCCCACCTTTGGGGCTGTAGGATGGGTATAGGCTTGGGATGTATAAACTCCCTCATTTCCCTGGGTCAGAGCGGGTGATGTGGATGCCACCAGTGACTTCTTCATTTGACCAAGTTTAGCTGGAACTCCTCAGTCCCAGAACAGAGGTGAGGTGAGGTGCTCCTGCTACTTCTGCCATTACTTCCAATCATGCCTGTTCCAAAGGCTTTTTTTTTTTTTTAAAGGTATGGGGCTGTTATGAATAAAGATACAGAAATAAAATACACCCGGAAGTAAATATATGAAGATGTGAAGTAACGTGATTAGCACTGTATTTTATTGGATCATGTTGTTTCTTCTGCCCATCTGTTTCATTCTCATTTTTGAGGTTACTGTTTCACGAAGGTGAGGAAATTGGTGTTGCGAGAGTGGAGACCTGTTCAAATGACACTGCTTCTCACCAGGGCTCCCGCTCTTTTAATTTGGTGGGGTGACAACCAGGGCTCCCTTGACTGGCACTCACTGCTTCTCTCCCCACTACGCTAGGCTGTAGTGTGAACTTCCTCTTGAGTTTTACTTATGGGGAGGCCTCCTGGAGCTTCATATCTAGAAAATAGGAATAAACCCCTTCATTCTTTTCCAAATAAAAGTGCGTGAATTAAAGACTAATGTTGGTGTTCTGTAGCAGCAGTTGGACGTGACTTTGGAGCACCCTTGATATCTTTTTTAGTCTTAAGATTTCTACTTTCATTTTGAAGGGTTCACTTTGTTAGGTAAGCTATTTGGGGAAATGGCTTGTTTTTTGAGTTTGGGCTGTGGTTTAACAACCACTTGTGAAGGGCTTAAAACTGGTTGAGAGCAAGGTTCAGCCTATGCTGTCTTCCATTTCTTTTTTGTAGAGGTAATTTCTTTTCTTTTTTTCTTTATTGATTTTAGAGAGAGAGGAAGGGAGAGGGAGAGAGATGGAAACATCAATGAGAGAGAACATCTATCTGCTGCCTCCTGCATGCCCCCCACTGGGGATTTGGCCCACAACCGGGGCATGTGCCCTGACTGGGAATTGAACCAGTGACCTCTTGGTGCATGGGTTGATGCTCAACTACTGAGCCACACAGGTTGGGCAATTTTTAAAAAATTTAGTAATTTTTTAGAGAGAAAGAGGAAGAGAGAAAAGGGGGGAGCACATCAGTTTGTTGTTCCACTTATTTATGCATTCATTGGTTGCTGCTTTTATGTGCCCTGACTGGAGATCGAACCCGAAACCTTGGGGTATGGGCACAATGCTGTAACCAATGGAGCTACTCAGCCAGGGCAACAGTCTTTCATTTTTAAGTGTGGCAAAGAAGGGCTTTGGGCCAAAGTCATGATTGGCCTCCATGGAGAATACCCCAAAGTTTGGACTAACCTCTTTCTTTCTCTTAGTAATCCAGTAGGCAGTAATCACCTTTTTTGTTCTCAAACCCATGTTCAAATAAGAAGTTGTATGTGATAATGGTTACAAGTGGTTTCAGACTCATCAGAGATGAAATCTTGCCACAATCATTTGCTAGCTGAGGTGCTATCAACAGGGCACTTAATCTAAGTCTTATATTTATCCTTTTTTTTTGTTTTTATCCTTACCCGAGGACCTTTTTTCCATTTTTTGTTCAGATAGAGTGGGAGGGAGAGAGAGAGAGAGAAACATCAACGTGAAAGGGACACATCGGGTGGTTGCCACCCACACGACCCAACCAGTTTGTGGGGGCAAACTGCAACCGAGGTACGTACCCTTAGCGGGAACCGAACCCGGGTCTCTCTGGACCGCAGGCCGATGCTCTAACCAGCCAGGACGATCTTATTTATCTTTTATTCAGAAATAAATTAAGGTAATTACAGTTCTTATCCCCCAGAATTATTGACAATAGCTGAAATTTACTGAGCACTTGTGATATGCTAGGCATTGTGAGAAGAGTTTTTATGTGACAGTCTCATTAATCCTCACAACCAATTTATGAAGCAGATTCTATTTAAACTGGGGAAACTAAGGCATCATGATATTTATGATTTTCCTAAACTCTTCAGCTCACAATTTTAACCACCCAGCAAATTGGTCACAAATTTCCATAATAGCCAGACCCTGTTTCAACCGCTATGCATAGTAACGATCCTTGAGATAAGTACCATTTTTAGCCTTCTTGCCTTTATTTTACAGATAAAGAAACTGAGGCACAGAGCCCAAGTCAGACAAATAGGAAATGATGGAGCCAAGATCTGAACTAGGCAGCCTTGCTCTGGAGTGGTACTCTCAACTATTCCCCTGTGAATGTAGGTAAGGGGCTCAGCCAGGCCTCAGGCAAGGGCAACTCTTAATTGGCATTTTCATTTATTTTCTCCTAGTAACCTGTCGCTTCTCCCAGTCTCTGCAGAGGAGATGCTTTTAATTCTGTAAATGATTCAACTTTGCTTAAGGTTTTGTGATTCTGTGGACATATCTGCTGCATTCTCTGTTAATTTTTAAATGATATGGTAGGGTTGGCTCTCTCTGAAGCACGCCTGTGCCTTTCTTACCCAGGTGTGTATCTTTACCTTCTCTCCCTAAATTCTAAGGATCCTCACAAGACTTGTGAGGGCAGCGGCAGCTTGTCCTGGGCTTACCTCCTGAACCTGTCTCCAAGGCCCCCTTTCTGACTTTTCAGTGAGCTAAACGCAACCCCTCCTTGGCTCACCCCTTTCCTGTAACACTTCTAGAGCGCCGAAGCAGGGCACCACCTAGGCTGTCTCCTGTTGCTTCTTTACCCTAATGCCCTTTCTTCGTTTCACTGTCCCCAGCTTTAATAAATGTACTCTCAAAACAAAATAAATGAATATAAAGCTTGTGGTAGGGCTCAGAGATTTTGACCCTGGAAACACAGACATAGGCTTTAGGGAGTCTGAACCTCCTGAAAATGTATGATTTTATACCCATGTGCAAAAGCGCGCTGTTGTGGCAGAGAGAAGCCACAGCTTACTTTAGACTCTCTCTTTTTTTTTATCCTCACCCGAGGACATTTTTCCTTTTTTTTTTTTGTTCAGATAGAGTGGGAGGGAGAGAGAAGGAGAGAGAGAGAGAGAAACACTGACACGAAAGGGACACATTGAGTGGCTGCCACCCGCACAACCCAACCAGGGCCGGGGACAAATTGTAACCGAGGTGTGTGCCCTTAGTGGGAACCGAACCTGGGTCTCTCCGGACCGCAGACCAACGCTCTAACCGCTGAGCCAAACCGGCCAGGGCTACTTTAGACTCTTAAAGGGTCACCCGTGGTGGGAAGAAAGGTTAGTTATGACTATTCTATTCTAATAATCTCTATTTTTGTTTCTCTTCTTTTATTTATCTATTTATTATTAAATTTATCAGGGTGCCCTGGCCGGTTTGGTTCAGCGTTTAGAGTGTCGGCCTGCGGTCCAGAGAGACCCGGGTTCGGTTCCCGCTAAGGGCACGTGTCTCGGTTGCAGTTTGTCCCCGGCCCTGGTTGGGTCCTGTGGGTGGCAGCCACTCGATGTGTACCTTTCACGTTGATGTTTCTCTCTCTTTCCCTCCCACTCTATGTGAACAAAAAATGAAAAAATGTCCTCGGGTGAGGATAAAAATAAATAAATAAATAAATTTATCAGGGTGACATTGGTTAATAGGATTATATGGGTTTCAAGTGTACATTTCCATGATACAAAATCTGTATATTGCACTGTGTGCCCACCACCCAGAGAAATTTCTCTTTGTCTTTTGTTTGTTTGTTGTTGTTAATCTTCACCTGAGGATGTTTTTTCCAATGATTTTTAGATAGAGTGGAAGAGAGAGAGAAAAACACTGATGTGAGACAGACACATTGATTGGTTGCCTTCCACATTACCCCGATCAGGGCCAGGTATCGAACCCAAGACCCTCTAGTCCTTGGGCTGTTGCTCTAACCACTGAGAAAAACTGGCCAGGGCTGCCCAGCTTATCTCTTAAGCACAGCACAACTCCAGTTGTCTGTCCACTAAGTGCCGTGGGAACCTCGTGGGACTGTCTACTCATCTTGTATGTTGTATGCTCTTATCCTCGTTTTCACCAGCACGTCTCCTGTCCACAGAGGACACCTGGGTTTCCTGAACTCCCTGCACTCCGGTTCTGTGACCACTTTTTGCTACACAGCCACAAGGGCTGGGCTTGGAGCCCTGACCCCATCGAGCCCAGTTTTGCCATCTCAGGGCAGAATCTATTTCTGATGGCTTCAGAAATAAGAGAGATAGACAGAGAGAGAGAGAGAGAGAGATAAAACCCTTAAGGAAGGGGGATCAGAAGTAATATGTCGATTTGGATTTTGCTCAGTTAAAATCAGCTACTGGGAGTCCCAATGCATTGTTGGTGGCAGATTCCTAAGGACTTTGAAAGGCTTCCTCCTCCTCCCCCCCAAGATTTATAGTATTTTCTAATTCGTGCCTTTGTGCTTTAGCTACTGCTGGTTATAAGGAAGGGCCACCCCTCTGCAGTTAGCCTTGGCAGTGGGGGCTCATTGTAAGGACAGCACAGCCAACTCGGAGGCAACAGCTTGGAATCTCAGAGCCACTGGCCCTTCCCTCACCTCCCAGGGGCTGCAGGATCTCCAGCCCCTCCTCTGTGCCTCTGGCTGGGATTTCTGTGTGTTTTTTTTCCAGAAGGACTTGCTCTGTATGTAGGTGTATATTTGGTGTGTTCGTGAGAGGGAGGGAGTTCAGGGTCTTCTGTGCTGCCGTCTTGGACCCGCCGCCTGGCCAGGATTTCTGCCGGTGCACTTTGCTCAGCGGCTGGCCTGGCTCTGGTTCCATCCCGTGCTCTGATCCAACCTCCCAGCACCCCTCCTCTCCAACACTCGACTCCACAGCTTTCCTCTGCTTCTCTGGCCACTTGTGCTGTCCCTTCCTTGCCTGTGTCTCCACTTCCTCCTGACCGTCCCAGTTGGCAGCTCTTCAGAGCTGGTCCGGGGTCCTCTTCCTTTTTTGTCCACTTTCTAACTAGATCTGTGGTTTTCATACATTTTTATGCATAAAAATTCTCTGGGAACCTTGTTAATGCAGATTTCTGGACCTCACTTTCTAGATACTCTAATTTATTAGGTCTAGGATAGACCTGGGAATTTGTATCTTAATTCCCAGGTGATCCAGGTGCAGTGACAGACACTGGATATGCTGGTTTTATTCATTTCTGTGACTTTAAACCACTAATTTCTTGATGCAGATGTCCAGCTCTCTCATGAGCCCAGGTTTATACATTTAGCATTGGATTTGACCATGGCCCCTTGAGTATGTCACAACATCTTAAATTTATGGGTCCAACTCTTTTTATCATCTCCTGCTTGGTTTTGTGGGGCCTAACACTTAGGCAGTTTGGAGTCCCCTTGGAGAAAAAGAACTCAGCATTGTGAATGCAGAATGAGGTACAAGACCATGGAGGTGCTCAGAACTTGAACTTCTGTAGCTTCTTGGTCATTCTTCCTCCACTCCCCACTCCCAATACATTCTACTCCAGCCTTCCCCATCAGAATAAATTCTTACGGCCATCCACTCATTTGTCCAGGCCAGACACACAGGGCCATTTCTCATCTTCACCCCACATCTGAGCTGTCTCAAGGTCTTGGTTGACTGTCCCACTCTGTCTACCCACCTCCTCGCCCCCGTAGCTCAAGCTTCTGTCATGCACTTTGACATTAGCTTCTGGTCCATCCTCTCTCATTCCATTTCCTCCCCTCTGGTCCAGTTTCCCAAAGGCAGCCGGAGTACTCTTTTTTTTTTTTACTCTTCAGACAGAGTGGGAAGGAGGGGGTGGGGGAGAGAGAGAAATATCATCATGAGAGGGACACATGGACTGGTTGCCTCCCGCATGACCCTGACCAGAGCTGGGGATGAACCGCAACTAAGTACGTGCCCTTGACCAGAGTCGAACCCGAGACTCGTTGGTCTGTGGGCCGACACTCTAACCACTGAGCCAAACCGGCCAGGGCCAGAGCACTCTTTTAAGGCTCATGTGCTGTTTCTGTTTCACCCTGGTGTCAGCTCTGACATAGTGGTGGAGAAATTCACCCCACCACACGCTCTGCTGGTTCAGTGAACTTCCCTAGGTTGGTGGAGATGTCATCTTATGGGGGCTCTTCACCTTCTACAGTCTCATGGGTCTTCTGGGTCCCGCTCTCTGCCTCTCAGCCCTGCCCCTCCCTCTCCTTGCTTTCCCTTGAGCACCAGAGTCTTTTCCCTCCATGGCTCTGGATATTTCCACTTCCTCTCTCAAACTTACAAACCCAAAGGGTTCAAAGTGCAGAGCAGAACATGGGGCTTTGTATGAAGGGAACTTATGCTCCTTAGAAATGATAAAGGCAAGCACACAAAAAAGGGTTTGCTGTTACATGATTACCTTCCCCTTTCTTACTGACAGCAGCTCTTCTCATCATAGAGTGGTTTTTGGAAGGGTTGGGAGAAGGCAGCTCTTCCCGCAGCACCCCGGGTCACTTCCTGGGTTGGGGAGCAGTGTCACCATAGCTCTGGGTTCTGGTGTCTCAGAGCAGGAGACCGGAGCCCTTTGATCAGCTATCTATGGATGCTCAGACCCTGAGATCTGGACTCCTGCCCGAACGCACGTGATAATTCAGGAAATCAATGTAATGATTTATAAGGAGGTGCAGACTAGATGCTGGCTTTTTTTAGCTAGCTCATTTTCCTGGTGGTTGGGAAGCATTGAAAAATGATGACCTCTGTTTTGAGAACTTTGCCAAACTAAGCCTGCAGATAACATGTGTCAAATGCCCTTGAGTTACAGGCGGTACTTCAGGCAAATGGCTAAGAAATCATAACTTTGGCGTTTTACCTACTTTTTTTTTTTTTTAATTAATTTATTTTTGTTACAGCTGTTTCTCCTTTTTACCCCATTGACACCCTCTTCCCCTGCCCCCCCCAAGTCCACAGCTTTGTTGTCCATGTCCATTGGTTATGTGTACATGCATATAAGTTCTGTGGTTTATCTCTTCCTCCCCTACCCACTCCCTCTTCTGTACCCTACTTACACGTCTCTGGGTCTACCCTGTTCCTCAGACTGTTATGTTCATTATATTCTGCAAATAAGTGAGATCACGTGATATTTGTCGTTCTCTGCTTGGCTTGTTTTGCTTAGGATAATACTTTCCAGCTCCCTCTATGTTGTCTCAAAGGATAAGCGATCTTTCTTTCTTACAGCTGCATAGTACTCCATTGTGTATATGTACCACAGCTTTTTTATCCATTCGTCTACTGATGGACACTTGGGCTGTTTCCAGATCTTAGCTATTGTAAATAGTGCT